TCTGTCTGTCTGGTTTCACCAGCTGCAATGTGCCTATCTGCTGAGCACCATGGGCAATGCAGTCTACTTGGCAAGCCTGATTTAACTGCCCTTCCCCACCGCAGTCCATCCTGTCATAGGGAGAAATCTACCATCTGCCAGATGTGGTTAAAGTACAGCAGTTCAGACAAGTGGAGGGAAGTGCTCCAGCCGTGTCTATAACCCCGTTTCCTTTAGAGAAAACCCAAACTCAATAAAGCCCCAGTGGAGTGTTTGGAAAGGGTGTTTGCTATATTATTCTCTGCAGTTTATGCTTAATTTCTCATTTTTAAAGCCAGTAAGAATCTACCAAGGAAGAAAAATATGTATTTGCTCAATGTTCCAATGCACATTGGCACACTGGCCAGCTCATCAGTTTTTCCTGGCTAGAAAAGTCCTTACTACCTCCTTTCCCCAAACTGTGCGTGGTAAAGAAACTGTGGCTAACAGTGGTGAAGTAGAAAAATTAAACAGCAGCTAAAAGCATCAGGGTACATGTGTGTAGGTGGCATTCTTTGCCGTTTTATTCATTTTTATTGTGAGAAGGCTGTGTGCTGAAGGGAAAAAAAAACTTAAAACCTAAATATCTGAAGTCAAAGTGACCATTTCTCCATCTTCTTGGGGTATTACTCTGTGTGTTATGGGTGTGCATTTGAATATAGTCACCTTCTCAAAGTAGTACAGTATTGTGCCTATTTTTTTTATTAACCAATAGGATCAGACACCAGTCCTGTGACTCCCTTTTCTATATACTGATGATACATGTTGACACTGGCTCTATCCAGTACCCTTGCCTTTTAGTGTAGTGTTTTTAAATTTTAAACTTTAAAATGTAAAGTTCTTGGACTCCAGCATGATTTCTTAATTCTTCCATCAGCATTTTTTGAAAAGATTTTGTTTTTATGTGTGTATATGTCTGGGTCCCTGTGGGTATGTGCATGTGACTGCAGGTGCTCACAGACACCAGAAGAGGGCACTGGTAGGATCTCCTGGAGCTGGGGTTGCAAGCAGTTGTGAGCTGCCAGATGTGGGTGTTGGAAGCCAAACTCAGGTCCTCTGGAAGAACAGCAAAAGCTCTTGACCACTGAGCATCTCTTCAATGCAGCAGCATGTTTTAAGTTCAGTGGTAATTCAAGAACAAGCACATACTGTGACTTAGAAAATACAATCTGATTCCAAGTAACGCTGAAGTTCTAAGAGCTTTTGGTGTTTCCTGGTGTCAGTTACTGGGTATTAAATTGGTTATGTTCCTCGTGTAAAGGCTGGACTCCTCTGAGTCTTTATGGTGGCATTCTGCTTTAGAAAGATGGAAAAGACAGCAAGCTGCTTCACAGGGTCTGTGCGTGTGAGCTGCTGTTCTTATCCTTAGTGTGTTTGTCAGTTGGCATGGGCTCACATACATGGAGGGGCAGCAGGCAGTGCTTAGCAGGAGCTCAGGGCTGCCAGATGAAAGAGACCAATGTTGGGACATCAGTGGGGCAGTGATGAGGGGAAGCTGGTCCTTCCTCTACTCATGGTATGGGGAGCACCTTGAACAGCAGTGGTAAGGAGCCCATAGCAGGACATGGGGTCATAGGTCAGCAGCAGTCTAGCCTGGGTTAGTCTTGAGATACTAGTAAGGACTTGGCACTACTGCTCTTTTGCAGAGGACCCGTTTGAACAGGGACTAGCATTTGTGCACATAAACTGTCCAAGTCCTCATGCCCCACAGGAGAGGCTTGTATCTCAAGAAGGGCAGTAGATGAGTTCTAAAGTGGGCAGGACGGAGGGAAGAGCCTTGCAGTTACTTCTCTCCCTTCCCCAAGCCTGCATGCATAGTAGCTGGGCTGGGAAGGAAAGGAACTGTCTAGATATCAGCTCTGAGGCTATTTTAGACACATTGCATTGAAAATTAAGCTTTTTGGAAAATGAAGACGCACATTGGATGTCACTATAAGCCACGCTGTGTGCCTGTTGAGATACCGCATCCGACTCTTCTGTGAGAACTTCAACACATTGGCACATGTGCAGATGGTAGATTTATCCATCGAAATGAGAAATTTGGGGCCCAGACAGCTGTTCACAACAAGTCTTCAGCCACTCAGCTAGGGGGAGAGGAGGATAGACATGCCCAGGTACCAGCCCAGGGGAGAGTGCCTAGGAGTCCCTGGTATAAGGGAGCCAGAGGGCAAGCATGGCTGGACTTTCCAACCTCTGACTCTGGAGTTCTTCCTTGCATTATCAGTCTTCCTACAGTGTAGGTGAGGCCTGCATTTCAGAGAACTCTTTATCACTTCCAGCTTCCTGTAGAGGTGGGTGGGCCCGGTGAGTATACCAAATCAGAACCCCTCAGAAGACCAGTTCCCACTGAGGTTAGATACATGAGTATAACCCCCACCCCACCCCACCCAGAGCCTAAAGCCAGGCACAGGAGTGCTCAGGGACCAGAGTGCCCAGAGGTACATGGGAAATGAACAGAGCAGGTAAGCGAGTGGCAGTTCCTGGGTATCCCCTGTCACTTGCTGTGCAGAGAGAGCAAGTCTGTGTGTCTGGAGGCAGCTCAGCCCTCATCTGCCTTCCCTGCTCACAGTGCATTGCTCAGGAGAGAGTGCACCACCCAGCACAAGGACCTCTTTGTTCTGAACTGCACTCAGCTCCCTGAGACTGTCTGGCCTCTTTACTCCTCTGCTACCCCACCCGCCTCCCTGCTGCAGGATTTCTCCATAGGCCACTCCCATTCAACCTCTGGGGTGGCCTCCTCCAAGTGTCATTGTCTTGAGGACAAGTTGAATGAGCTTGGGACTGCAGGATCTAGCACAGCCCGTTGCCTGCCTGTAAGCAAGAAATCATCTGAGATGGCATCTCTACCCTCCTTTCCTCTCTCCTTGGGACACATTTCCCGCCACTACACTAGAAGGACACAGAGGAATCTGGAAAGGGTGACAAGGGGCTTATTAGGGTCTACAGTGGGGAATGAGTGCTTGACCTGATCTTCAGTGACAAGGTCCTAAGTGGGAGGATCAGGAGATGAGAAAGATAAAGATAGAAAGCTGGGGTCAAGGGTTCCTGCACAGGCTGTGTCTATGCCAAGCAAGCTTATTAAGAACTACAGCATCTTATATACTATTTGGGGGAGAAAAATGGGACAGGGTCAGCAGAAAGCCATCATGGGACAAAGTCAGCAGGAAGCTAATCAGTGCTGTCCAAGGGGAGCACAGGCTACCTTGAGGATGTCAGAGAGGAGCATGCAGCAACTGGGGGGTTGATAACCAGTAGCCCCTAGGGTGGAAAGAGGGTCCTCAAAATCCAAAGACACAGCTCTCCCAAGGTCCTGGTGCCAGACCATTTCTGGCTCTACCAAGCATATTCCTGGTGTAGAGAAGGAACTACTTTCAGTCTTCATATGCCAGGGCCTCAGGGGATGTCTTGCAGTGGTCTAGCACACAACATGTACTCATCCTTTGTTGGTGCAGTTTCATTTTGTGTAGCCCCTGGGAGGATGAAGGCCTCATGTCTGTGGTGAACTATGGAGGTTGAGCCACAGAGCTGGTAGCCTGAGAGCCAGCCTCAAGTCAGGCACAGGCTGAGTTTAGAAGTGGCAAGTAGTATTTTCACTCTAGCTATGCAACATTGAAGGCATGGCTAAAATGTATGTGTTGTTTCCTAGAAACTTAACAAGGCATGTCACATTTCTATGTATTCACTCTGGCAACCTTGCCTGGGGACATGCAGGAAACACTAGGCCCAATCTATAAGCACAGAAAAAAAAAATGAAGATTTTGTTTGTTTGAGTAGATCCAGTAAATGTATTTGTTTATATGAAATTTAAACTACACTGGGCTCCTATATGTGTATATAATTTGGCAGCCATACTTGGAGACCCCAGTGAAAATATACTGGGCCTCACTTGTGGCTACCTGAGAGTACCTGCAAGAAAACCCAGAGAGGTACATGCAGCGTGGGAGGTGATAAGCTCCCTGGCAAACTGTATTCAGGCAGGGATGTCAGAGAACCACTCACAAGGTCCTGTGGAAGGAGTAAGGTTTCAGATGCCGGGTTCCACTGAAGCTCTAGAATACAGATCTGGGGAATAAGGAGGGCTCTTATTTTCTGGGGCTTGGCTGAGCTATGACCCGGCAGGGCTAAGAAGCTATTTCTGAAATCCCCCTCTGTTAACAGCAGCAGACTGGAGACCAGTTCCCTTGTCTATGTTGATGGCTGACCTCACTCAGCTGGTGGAAAACAGCCCAGTTTGATCTCTTTACATGGTCTAATCCTGCCTCAAGAAGTACCACTTGACTAAAACATACTTGTTTGTCCCGCCTGCTCAGGATTGACAGTGACTTCCTGGTTACTTGTGTGTCTTTGCGGCAGAGTGTGTCTTCTGTGATAGGCTGAGGACCAAGAGATGTGCCCTACATCACTCCCAGGCCATGGCATAAAGAGCACCCACCCCAAAAGTTCTACACAGGTCCTTGAAGGCAGATGACCTGAGGCTGTGGAAGCACAGGTGTTTGTTTTTCTATTTTTTTTATTAGATTCTTTCAGTGTGCAACATCTTGTCCAGCAGTCTGCATTTTTAAACACAGTGTCTCATGATTGCCTCAGCATGGTGTCTGCACTCCAGGAATTGCCCTACGAAGATATAGTCTAGTCCTTGGCAGGCCTCCTGCTAGACCCCACCTCCTTTCAGGCCCTTCCTGGAACTTCCTGTGACATTGACCTAGGGGACGGGAATCAGGAGGCAATCTGCAGCAGCAAAATCTCCTGGATTCCAGGATGTTATTTGCTCATTTTTTATTCCCCACCACCAGGCATTTGGGAGTTGATTTAATTATAAGATAGGTCCTTCAGTAGTATTCATTAAATTTGAAATGTCAAGTCAGAATACCCACTGTAGCAAAGTAGAAATGTTCTTAGTGGTATGGGTTCTGTTAATTCAAGTCACCAGTGTTACCCTTCAGTGGCAAAGGCATCTCTCTCACTTGTGTCTTCCAGGAAGGATCATTGAATGGCGCGTGTCTGACAACATGCACCACCACTGGCTTCTACTGGCCGCATGCTTTTGGGTGATTTTCATGTTCATGGTGGCCAGCAAGTTCATCACGTTGACCTTTAAAGACCCAGATGGTAGGTATGCTTCTTGGCAGAATGGATTTATGACTGACGGAGTCCTCCTGCAACACTCTGCCGAGGCACCAAGCATAAAGGACCGCTAGCTTGACCGAGGGATACGAGTGGGCTTCCAAAGTCTTCATATAACCAAAACCAGAGGGGGGCTGGTCAGTGGCTATGCTGAGCCACTCCTGAAAAGGCTCTTTGTGTGTGGCTGAAGCCACTGTGTCACCTTTGGGATAGAGATGCTTCCTTCCTGTGAGGCCTCTGAACACCTGGCAGCAAGAAATGTCACAGTCTCTGACTCGCGTCTGAGCCCAGCTGTGGTTGCTCGGCCAGAGTGCCAGCTGTTTCACACTGGAGACCTATGATTAATGGCTGTCCTTCACATAGTGGAAGGAGGGTTGTTTAAATGTGTATTGTGAGGCTGTGTTGTAGGATTTCATCACCCTTTACTAGTCAGAGGAAGATGATGAAGTGCTAGGTTTGGTCTCGGGCAAGCTGATTCTGTTTCATGTTCTTGTCGTCTGTCAACCTACGCGGCAACATTCGCTTACAGAATAGAAACACTCCTGCTCTGACATTGCCAGCTGATGGTCTGGTTAGCGAAGGGCTGCCATGTGCCAGGAGGTGTGTGATGTTGCCCTTCGGTTCTGTGCCATTTCCTCTGGGGCCAAGTGGAGGAGCTGAGGAGAGGAGAGGGCATGGTTCATGTGGGGACAGCTCATTAGTGCTGTAGACTGGCCAGAGAAGCAGTTCCTGGGAAATGAGCACAGAGCTTTGTGCCTCCCTCTGCAGTTACACAGCTCATTAGAGCTGCGTCTCTGCCAGCAGAGTTCACCACTTAACGTCTAGTGGCTGTACCAACCTGTGACACAGTAGTTTGACCAGTTGGCTGTAGGCTCCCTCTATACCACCAAGAACTCTGGGTATGTGCCTAGCTGTTCTAAGGGCATATAACGTCCCACACGTCTCCATCCTCTCTGTCCTCACTTTAACCTACTGAGAGACAAAACCAGAAGCAGACATGGGGGATATGAGAGAAGAAGGAAACCCCTAAGTTAGCCCATGTGGTGGTTCCCCTCACCATGGTTTATATGCAGGGATAATTATAGGCACTTAACATCTGCTACCACCTGGCTGTCATCACAAGTCCCATCATCATCTTATTGAAGTTCCTGGGAGAAAGCTGATGAGGTTTGCACAGCCTGGGGAAGGGATGTTGCACTTGCTGTATTGGACATCCAGAGCCATCATGTAGTGCTTGAACCAGGGGCTCCATCGGAAGAGTGAGCTTCAAACCTCAGAGCAAGGTTGGAGTGTGAGCAGTGATCTTAGTGTCGCCGTTTTTTTTTTTTTTTAGCAATGACAGCACAGTCAATGCAGTGACCTGTTGTGAAGACAGAGAATGGTTCTCATCTTGGAGGTACTTCATAGACAGCTGCCAGGCTCTGTGACCTTCTGCTAATGACACAGATAAAATTCAGATTTCTGAGATGGGAACCAGCCCCAAATGGAGAACGGCAAAAAAAAAAAAAAAAAAAAAAAAAAAAACCAACGCTTGAGAACATGTGACTTCTACCCCTAGATATTTCTCTTAGTGAGGAAGGCCCGGCAGGGAGAGTCATGAGATTAAGTTGTTTTGTAGCTTGGTTTAGTTAAAAAACCAGGACAGTGTGTACTACTTCTCAGTGAGGCTTCTGTAAGCCATAGATAAATTATTTAAACCTGATGACACACACCTTCCACTCTTGCCACTCTGGAAGCTCTCATGCTGGGACCGACTGAGTCTGTGAGTTAGAGACCAGACAGAGCACCAGTGAGACCCCATCTCAAAAAAGCAAAACAAAAATAAGAATTAAATATGCCCTTGCATTTTTATGTTCTCTGACTGGGGCTTTTAAAGAACACCTTCCTAGTGGGTTCTGGTAAAGGTAATGTCACTATATGGGGAGGTAGCAGGATTTAGGTTCACTGCTCTCAGAAGGGCTTAGACACCAGAACTGCAAAAACTTAAGGAGACATTGAAGGTAAAAAGCCAAAAAAGAAAACTGATAATGCTTACTTAGTAGAGGTCAGAGGACAGAGGTCAGAGTTCTTGCACCATGTAAGACTCAGGAATTGAGCTAGGGTCATTGAGATTGGCAGCAGGCACCAAACCAAGCCACCTGTGGTTGAAAGAAAATGGCTCCCAAAGGGAGTGGCACTTTTGGGAGGTGTGGCTTTGTCTCTATGAGACCAATTGGGTGTTTGAGATAGGCAAAGTAACACAGTTTCACCGAGCTGAACAATTGCAACATAAAAGAATGCAACATGTCTTTGCACCATTAAACAAATGTTCCACAGCATAAACAAATGTAACACATCTTAAATTAATATTCCACAACACTATAAACCAGCCCCAACTAAATGTTTTCCTTTGTAAGAGTTGCTGTGGTCATGGTGTCTCTTCACAGCAATAGAAACCCTAAATAAGACACCTCCTTGCTGGCCTCACCTTCAAGATTTTAACTGGGACAAAAACTTTTTAGCACAGCTCACCAAACAGCTCTGTCTTAAGACTAATGATAGACAGTTCCTCTACACTCTGACATTTGGAGTGGCCATATAGCCTACTCTTGAATGCCTTCAGAGCCAGGCCTGGCCCCGTTAGCCTCCATTTACCCCAACATGAAATTCAGGGGGAATACTGTCACCCCAAAATATCTTGTAAACTAAGATATCACAAGGATCCCTTGCTATCATAGAGCTTAAAGTATGAGTTCCCTGTCATGACTCAGAGCATATGTCCTTGTCTTCAAAGTATCTGGTCAGATCATTGTCCATCAACTTCATTCTTCATTCTTATTTCTGAGTGGATTTGTGCATTCAATATCTTGCCAGTCTAAGTGATTAGGACTGAATGAAGAATTTGGAAGTTAAGTACATAGTACTGACCCAAGACATCAAAGAGGACACTGGGCTGGGGGTGCTACAGGCATCTCTTCTTCTCCACCCTGAATCCCTCTGCAACTCCCTGTTAAAGGACACCCTCTCAGTCACTGGTAGACTGCGAAATATCAGAGGTGCCTGTGAACTCCTGGACTGTTATCTAATTGTGACATTTATTTTTTATGCATTCAAACCATGTTGGCTTTTGAACCAAGGGCCACACATGAGTATAATTGCAAGGAGGTGACTTACAGCCCAGTGGTCCCCAGAGCGAAATTGCTTGCTGGATGGTCCTTGGACATGGTGTTCAGGAAACACGATAACATGGCTAGATGCCCTTGGGTTATTCTTCCTGCTGGCTCTCTTCTCTTGGAGCTGGATCACTGGTGTGGAATCCCAGCCACATTGTGTAGGTGTTTTCTTCATGCCTACTTGTCCGTCATGATTTCCCTGGCCACCTCAGCTGAGCCAAGAGCTCATCTGTCCTGTGTGTCCTAACCTACTGTGCGTCCATGCTTGCTGCTTTTGACGCCACTGTGGTTTATGTCAGCTCAGCAGTAAAGCCACATTGATATTTGTACAATGATCTATTCTTAGTAAATTTCTTTTCTGCTGAACAAAAATCAGGTGTTAATAACCAGATTGTATCAAAGAAAATAAATCCAACCCAGTGATAGGTATTTAGTGGCATGATTTGTCAAGATTTGAAATAAGAAACAACCCTTCCATTGGTCTGTGATATTTGTACACATAATTTTCTTTCATCTGTCGGGCTTGCTCTTTCAGTCAGTCTTTGGCCTGATTGCAGCTCCTCGGGTTGCTTCTCAGTGGCTGACAGGCAGACCCCATGACTTTGGATTATCTCTGCCCGCTGCCCATAGCATAGGTTTGGAACTGAGCTGTGAGGCAGAAGGCAGCATCATTACATAGCACAGAAGGCAGCTAGGGAACAATTGTGGCCACTTTTAGAAAAGCAAAGCAAAGTGGTACTCTATTCACAATTGTAGACATTTTCTACAAACCCCTAACTGTTAGCAATCATAATCTTAGACATGAAGATGCCCAACTATGCCTTGAGGATTGCAGCCCTTCACCCTGAAGCTGGAGACTTGCTTCTGAGGGGCAGAGTGGAGAGAGGGACTGACCTCTGGTCATAGTAGTGATGCTAGTGGCTGCTGAAGAGAATTCCCCTCCAGCAGAAGGGCAGAAAGCAAACACTAGGCCAATCTGCTTCCTCCTCTGTCTGTAGTCAGGTAGGGTTGGGTTAGCTGGAGAGAGACTCCAGGAGCCTAAAATCATGAAAATGTTCACACCAAGGTAGTCCTGGGGCTGGGGGGGGGGGCGTGAAATGTTCCTTGGTAACCATGGCCTTCTATGTGCTCTGAGCCTGGGAAATACATTGTTTCCCAGAAGTTAGCAGCAAGTCGGTTATTCAGCATTCAGCACACATTTCTTTCTACCCAGAATGTAAGGAAACACAGGTTTCACAAATCCGTTTAGCATGTCAACACCCAAAGGTGACAGGGTGAGTCAGTGGCGATTGGACAAGTCAGTGTAGTTGTCAAAGCCCCCTTCAGTGCAGCTAGGAACGCTGGGGTGGGTGGTTACATGACTTCATCTGCCAAACAGCATACTCTATCCTACGGTAGTCTCAGAACAGCTTGTTCATGTAGCTCCAGCCAGGTTTGCACTTTTACTCAAATGTAGACAAAGAGGAAGATGGCTGTGGGGTTCATGAAGCAGGGACTGCAGTAGAGCCCAGTAACTGAGGCATGGGAGCAGAGTGGTATTAGTGCACAGTAGGGTGCCTTCTTTCTCATGGTGCAGAAGAGAACCAAAGCAGAGTAGACAGACACTGTGTGCTGTAGGGAGGCAGCTATTCAACAGCCTGACTGGATGAGCTCAGGGAGGCGCTGAAGTTAAGAGCACTGACTGCTCTTCCACAGGACCCAGGTTCTATTCCCAACACCCACATGGCAGCTCACACCTGTCTGTAACTCCCAGTTCTTCTGGCCTCTGTGGGTACCAGGCACATATGTGGTACAGATAACACGTGTAGGCAAAATGTTCACACAAAGTAAAATCAAATAAAAATAAAAATAATCAAATAAATTTTAAAAACAGACCACCTCAGTCTTGAGGTGGTCTGGGGCTATAGTAAAGCAGGCAACATATAGGCATCACTGAACCAAGTCGGGGGACATTTTTATTACATGAAGTCATAGTTTTATATATTTTGTGTCATTTTATTGTATATGTGTGTTTCTGTGAGAAATTGAAAGTACGTTTATTTCCATAAAGTGATAGATTATGTCCAGACTCTACTTGAAAGGTTTCTACAAAATCTGTTGTTTTGCTCCCCGAGTGGCTTGTAAACTGTCCTGTAGTCTGACTTATAGTCACATGACTTCTGGCATGAACATGGAAACTAGCCTGACTGCTGAAGTTTTGTTTTTTAATGTAAATTAAATTTTTTCGGGAGTGGGGTTTCTGGAGAGTGACATGCCCTTGTAAAAAATACCACTGAAGAACTGGAGAGCTGACTCAGTGGGTAAGAGCATTGGCTAGAGGACCCAGGTTTCGTTCCTGGAACTCTCGTGGCAGCTCACAACCATCTGTAACTCCAGTTCCAGGGGATCCAGTGCCCCCTTCTGGCCTCCCCAGGCATCAGGAATACACACGGTACACAGACATACATTCAGGCAGAGTAACCATACATATAATTTTCTTTCTTTCTTTCTTTCTTTCTTTCTTTCTTTCTTTCTTCCTTCCTTCCTTCCTTCCTTCCTTCCTTCCTTCCTTCCTTTCTTTTTTAAGAAAAAGAAGTAGCATAGGAGTGGTAGACCTTGTGTTCCATTTGCCATATGTCCTCATAAGATAATTGTTTACAGGGCTACACAGCAGTTGGGATACTGACACAGATATGGCCCAGGTGTAGAACACCTCTGTCACTGTGAAGGTCCATCATGTCACCCTTGGTGATTATTGTCTTTTGGTTCTGGTTTGGATTTTTTTTTTTTTTTTTTTTTTTTTTTTTTTTTTTTTTTTTGGTTTTTTGGTTTTTTGAAACAGGGTCTCTCTGTGGCTTTGGAGGCTGTCCTGGCACTCACTCTGTAGACCAGGATGGTCTCGAACTCACAGAGATCCGCCTGCCTCTGCCTCCCGAGTGCTGGGATTAAAGGCGTGAGCCACCAAAGCCCAGCTGGGTACTGCCTGAGCGGATTCCGACAGGTAACAGAGGCAGGCCAGCATAATGCCTGAACCTTTCAATTGGTATGTGGGTTTTTGTTTGAACATAAATGTTTACTTCTCTGTAATAAGTGCTAGGAAACACGATTGTTGGGTCTTGTTACCATATTGTTTTTGTTTTTTCCTCAAGAAAATTACCAGACCCTTTTCCAGAGTAGTTATTCTGTATTTCATTTCTGCAGCATTGTATCCATGGCCAGGTTTCTCCACATTGCAGCGTTTGGTGTAGCCCCTGGTTCTTTCTCACATGGTCTGAGGGGTCTGTGGTGCTGTCTCCCTGTGATTGTGATTTGCATTTGCCTCCTGGCCGGTGATGGTAAGGTGGCTCTGCCTATCTTGATCTTTGCAGATCGTCTTGTTTATTTATAGTTTCCTAAGTGCTGCATCTGTTGATTTCCTTATGCCTTCTAGATGCATACTCTCTGTGGAGTGTGAGGCTTGCAAACGGATTCTCCCAGCCCACAGCTTCTGTTTTCCTCCCCTTCAAATGACCTTTTATAAAAAACAGGTCTTGAGCTTTGATGAGGTTCAGTGTTCTAAGGATTTTTGCCCTGTTCTTCTTTTGAGTTGTGTGGCTTTGTGTTTTACAGTGTGAGGACTAGGTAATGGCTCATTCTGTCTGTTGAGGTTCACTGACTCTATCTCCCTTTCTTAAATAGACTGACTTCCCCCCAGGTGGGTTGCCTTTACTGAAAGCCTTTGGGGAATGGCTGGGTGGGTGCAGCCTTTCCTGGAGTGGCATTCCATCCCACCATTGTCTGTATCCAGTGCTCTGTACAAAGCTGTCTGAATCACTTGTCTTCCAGGGTATAGTGCCAAACAGGAGTTTGTGTCCCTGACCACCATGCCAGAAGCAGGGAAGCTAAGAGGAGAAAAGCATCTTCCTGAGGATACAAAGGTGAGCACAAGCCCTGTCCGTCTGACAGGGACACTGCTTTTCTTAAGGTACACTGCACAGTGACCTTGTCACATGGGAGCAGCTTTCCCCAGAGGCTCTCATGGGTTCCCACCTATGCCATGCAGCCTGACTTATAGTGCAGGGTGAGAATCCCTAATCTGAAAATCAAATATATGAAAACCACACGGTCTGAAATTATTTGAGTGCCAACATGGTACCACAGTGGAAATTTCCACGCTATGAAACTTTGTTTTATGCATCAAATCACTTAAAACTATTCTATTATTGCTAGGGCTATTGCTTAATGCTGTCCTCCTACCTAACACATAGAATGCCCTGCATTCAATCCCTTCCAATCATATAAAATTTCCTTCAGATGTATATAGAACATATATGAAATTCAGGTTTGGACTGGAGTCCCTGTGATCTCTTTTTGTGAATAGAAATATTACAAAATCCAAAAGAAGTTCCAAATCCAACGCATTTCTTTTCCTAAGCATTTTGAATAAGGAATAACAAGGGTTATTCAAGCTGGAGTTCCTTGGATTTGTGTGTTTCCACCCATCGTTTTAGCTTGACCTCGGTGAGGCCAGTGGTCTTCTGTGCTGCATCCCTCATCATGGGTCCTCTGTCAGTGTTGGTTATGCTGAATCCCTTCCTGGTGGATGGAATGTTGACTTCATTGGGGGAATGGAGTATGTTGAATAGGATCAGGAAGAAACTGAGTATGTGAAAAGATTTTTGACACAGAGTGGAATTTTGGAGTGAGAGGGAACATGGGACCAGTCTCCAAACTGTTGGATGAGCTACTGAACCCAGGGCAAAGGAGAGGCCCCCAGATGGCACGGCAGATAAGAGGCTCAGTCTAGGCAGTCAGCTTCCATGGAGTCCTCGATGCCTGGGTACTGACTCCATATATTCCCCTACAGGGCTACTTTCACACATAACTCTCTTTGTTCCCTGTCCAAGGACAGGGATATATTCAGGAAGGTTGCTCCCTTTGGTCCTCATGCTGGGTCTGGAAGGTCACAATTGTGACTGAGGGGATGAAGTATCCACCACTAATGATGTTTGTCAGTCTGGGACTAGCCTAGGGAAAAGATTGGGTGCTGCCGGGTTCACAGAGTGAATGTGCCAATTAGAACCCAGTAAGAACAGAGACACTAGTCAGAGCAGGTGGCCATGGTGGCTTCTTGTCAACAAGACATTCATGTGGCAAACACCAGGTCTATAAAGCTCTTCTGAGATAACCCAAGGGGCATCGTTAATAGAAAATATTGAAATAGAGGGCAGGCAACCTGTTTGCAAAGCAGTTCAAGACAAGGGCCCGACTGAGGAGATATCACATCTGGGGGAAAGAGAGCTTACCCTGTAGTGGTCCCTTGCTATTTCAAGATGCCTCTTGGGGAACATACACCTTCCGGGGCAGATCCCCAAATACTATATCCACATTCATGCACACACCCAAGTCATGATCAGAAGGGTTGCTGCAAACTAATCCACATGTTACTGCTCATTCTGCCCTGTCCATGCCACTCTGCTCTTCCTGTTTAGCACCCCTCTCCCCCATACATATACCAACTGTGCTCATGTGCACACATGCACACACACTCAGCTAAGGCTCTTTTGGGTAGCCCCAGTCACACACCCAGCCAAGACTTAGTAGCTATGGAAGGAATGGTCCTCCTAGCCTTCAGAGCCATGGAAGATGGGGGTGAGCTTGAGTCCTAGACTCAAGAAGAACATCCTAGGGATGTTCTTCCAGTCTGTGAAGCCCTCTACACCACCTCTTCTCTTGGAACTCCAGCTTTCTCATCTTTTCAGTTTATCAAGTCAGCCTTTTAGGAAAGTCACAGGAACCAAGTGGACATCTGTTTTCCTGGCCACATGTTCCCATCCATCTTTAGAACTCAGTGAGTCTGTGATGAGGGGGCTGAGAAGGGCCCTGTGAAGTGGCAGGAAATGGTAGTTGTCACTCTAGAAATGGAAAGAAAGCAAGAGAATGGGGACTTCAGAGGTTCTCTCCTGTTTCATACCCATGTTCCCTCTTCTATCCCTCTCTCCGACAGCCAACTGGGAGGATGCTCTCTGATGGCCGTCCTGACCAGCCCCCGGTTTATCTGGAACGGCTGGAGCTCATCAGAAATGCCTGCCAGGAAGAGGCCCTGAGGAACCTCTCACACACTGAGGTCTCTAAGTTTGTCCTTGATCGAATATTTGTCTGTGACAAGCACAAGATTCTTTTCTGTCAGACTCCCAAAGTGGGCAACACCCAGTGGAAGAAAGTGCTGATTGTCCTAAATGGTAAGTGTGGCATCTGGGGAATGTCCCCCTGGGATGGGTAAAGGTGGCATCAAAGGAGAGGATGGTTCCTTCCAAAAAGACCCACAATCTTCTGAAAGTTCTCTTTAAAAGCTGGTGGTGTTAACTTCTTTGTTTCATTTTTACAGTGCTGGGCATGGACTTCAGGCCTGTGTGTGTGCTAGGCAAACATTCTACAACTAAGCTACAACCCCAGCCAGCCACTGGTTGGTGGCTCTGAGATATTTTGGTCACAGAACCAAGGTCAGGATTTCCTGGGGTTTCACAGATATAACTTATCATCTTTACTCAACTTCTCCACCCCCATTAGGCCTTCTTTTTCATGGCTTGTGTGATGAGTACTTCCAGGCCACAATACTCCCTGAGGTATTCTGTAGTCAACGGGCCACTGCCAGAGCCTGGGAGGAGACTCCAGCCTCCTGAGCCTCAGGCAGCTTCCCTTGTAGACCAAGTCTTCTGTGCTGCCTGTGTAGACAGAAACTGTGCCTTGTTTTCTTGTGTAGACATAAAGCATTAAGTTAGCTTGCTTCAGAAAATCCAATGTTTACTGGGGTAAAAATTAAATCTTAGAAAAATGAGTTCATACACTATGGTTTTGATTATTCACTGCTCTGTTTAGTCACTGGGTTTATTTAAATCCTAATTAGTTTAAACTGACCTAAAATAATTAATAGCCTCTGTCTGTTAAAATTCAGCTCTAACTGGCTGAGTTCCAACAAACAGCATTGGGACTTCTGGTCAGAAATCATACCCTGGCTACCTTGGGACTGATTCTTGTGGTTCAGCATCTTGCCCACAGATCCCAAGCCTACTCTTTGTAATACTGGCCAGTGTTGGCTGCCACTTGCCCTTTCTCTAGGCCAGTTGGAGGGCAAAAAAGACAAGACTTCATCTTCTGGATACAGTTAATGTGCTCCTGAAGTAATATGCCAGTGTGCTGGATTTTTGAACAGGAGATCAAGGCTACAAATCAAAATGAAAACAAAGCATACAAAAAAGGGCTCACAAATGGGCCGTGGCAGTGGAGAGCACCTTAACTCACAACAGTGGGATGAAATAAAAGTAAGCTACGTGAATGTGTGTATCAGAACCCCTCTTCTCTGACATTTCTAGGAGTCACAGCTCATGACAAACTTGCTGTGTTAGTCAGAATTGTGGACTATGTTTTTATGTATCAGTTATAAATGATTTAAATTGGAAACAAGGAACCCGCTCGACATCAACACCCATAAAATGTTTATTAAGAACAAAAAATTAAACTTATTTTAGGAAGGCTTTTATTGTCCAACCCATTACTTGCTTTAGTAGAGAAAGTCAGCTTGTTTACTTCTAAAACAATGTGTATTTGTTTTAAATCTTTTTTCCTACAAAAAGAAAAGAAAAAAGAAGCAAAAGCAAAAAGGTTTTATTGTAGATGTGTGAGAGAGAACAGCCAGAGGCCTCTGGAAGAGTCCAGAGCACAGAGCTGTAGACTGAACATGGCCAACAGACTGGGCCTGGCCATGAGAGAGGCAGGGGCAGGGCAGAGGTATGGGGGCTTTGGCAAAGAGAGGGAGACAAAGAGAGCCAAGGGATAAGGAAATTGAGTAGCTGGGTGGTGGGGGAGGGGGAGCCCATGAGCTGGAGAAGTTTAGGAAAGGAGAGGAGGTGAAAAGGGCTAGGATGCCAGCATGGACCCTTAAATGTGTAACAGGTACTTGTAACACTAAGGGAGCCTGGAGCCCAGCGTGGGCTTTGGTCGGCTAATAGACACCACAGACAGCCATTTCTCCCTTCTGCCAGAGATAAGGGAAATGGCTCCTTTTGGTAGTATGGAGGAAGTACTACACAAGTCCCTGCAGAAAGCTGGCTTTCTTGTAACTGCTTGGTCAGATGTGCTAACCAGGGCACATTTCAGCTCTCTGGACTAGCCCACAAGTCGTTGGAGGAGAAATGAATGACTAAGTCAAGGCTGGGCCTCTTGCACAAGTGACCCAGGAAAGTTTCCTCCTTGTGGGGACTCAAAGCTTGTGGTGTAAAAGCTATAGTTCGCAGAAGCTGGCAGAGCCCACAGGGTCTCATCACTGTCGTTTCCATTTGTCTACACTGGAAAAAGAAAAGTCTGTCCAGCCCCCAGGTCCCCTGCGAACCTGGTCCCTTCTTCGGGTGTGTCCTCCTTGCCTCCAATCCCTGAATTTAGCCAGGGTTTTTTTTGCCATGTGGGCTGCCATGGCATTCTGTGAGAAACACCATTGGTCTAATAGTGTTTGCTGTGCTGCAAGAGCACAGTCTGCCATGGAGACGAGGACCTGGCAGTGCTGTGAGCATTTGTGGACACTGTTCTGCATGCCATGCCCCTCCAACACCCCTGCCCTCTCAGAGGAGAACAAGCTGTTGTTTTAGGGAAGATGTAGCCTCTAGGTACAGTGCCAGCGTGTTCATTCTGTTTCTAAGGTGTTAGTTCAATATATATATATTCCTTCTGTTAATCCCTCAGCAGGGGCAGCTGGAATCTAAAGGTTCACAGGTGGACATTGAAGATAGGCTTCTCGGGTGTGGTGGGAGACTACATGGGTGGGCACCTCTAAGATTCATACTGAGGAGGTTCACAAACCTTCTCCTCTTGTTTCCCCCAGGAGCGTTTTCTTCCATTGAAGAGATCCCTGAAAATGTGGTCCATGATCATGAGAAAAATGGCCTTCCACGTCTCTCCTCCTTCAGCAAAACAGGAATTCAGAAGAGGTAAGGACAGCTTTGGCTGAGGGGAAGAGGAAGGGCAACTCTTCCAGCGAAGCTCCAGGCTCAGTTTGTACTTGCAGTGTGATCCACTTGGCTCCCAGCTGTTTTGTGTTGGCATACAGCGGCCAATGGTGACCTGACTGTGTCCTGCTCACTGCAACTCAGCAGTCCTCCTGAGAATTTCAGAAGACCTTTTCAACCTTGTCACAAAAGGTCTTTGAAGTTTGTATCAGCTTATTGCCAAAGTTGTTTGGATTTTGTTAAGTTTTATGGATTCTTTACCAAATAGGATCTTTTCTTCATTATAAAGAAAGTATTGCACTTTCCCAAGACACCAGGCCCACTTCTGTGCATACTTCCCTCTGGAGTTGTCGGGTGAGCAGATCCCATTGCAGGAGGTGCAGTCCACATTCTCCCTTGACTGTGGCAGTGGTAGAGTCGGCAGCTAATGAGTGAGACAGTTCTCCAATTTTAGCCACACTGAAGGGGTCAGAATCAAGAGCTGCTGCCCTTCCGCATCAGGTAGAGCCTGGATTTGGCCCTCCCTGGCTTTGCAACCTTTTTTTGGGGGGGGGGGGTTTGTTTGTTTGTTTGTTTGTTTGTTTGTTTGTTTTCATTGCTTCTGGCCTTGGGTAACGTAGTCACTACAACTCTGAAATTTTTGTCAGATGTCTTCCTGGGTGTGGACTGTCCCACTGAGCTCTAAGCTCCGCTTCATGGCCTTTGTGAGGTTCCATGAATTACATAGGCAGACCAGGGACAACAGTTTCTGGCTTTCGGGTAAGCTCACTGTAGGTGCAGTGTTGCCACAGATAAAGGTCATCATGCCAGTCCTGTTAGCATCAGTACCATCACCAGCCCTTCAAGCTGGCGCCCCTGCTCGGCAGCTTGCCCAGGCTGCCTTTCCTGTTGGAAGTGTACAGATAGCTTCCTGTTCCCTCATCCCATTCTTTATTCTTACTTTGGTGGCAGCTTGGGGTGCAATTTTAAAGCTGTGCCCATAAAATAAATCTCTGGCCTCGGTTAACACCGACTCACAGTTCTAGCCCTGATGATTTCCTGCCCAGGAAAAAAGAAAACTTGTAAAAGTTTTGAAATTTTGAATTAGCCAAATGAGACAAACCCTTGATCAAACAGTTTCACATCTGTCCCAGAGGATGAACGCTAGGGCTCTGAGCAGGTATAGAGCAATTCGGGCTTCCTTCCTTCCTTCCTTCCTTTCCTTTCCTTTCCTTTCCTTTCCTTTCCCCTCTCCCTTCCTTCCTTACTTTCCTTCCTTCTTTGTTTCTTTCTAATGTGCTCACACTTTTTTTTTCCAGATCTATTTATTTTATGTATATGGTACTCTATCTGCATATACACCTGCATGCCAACAGAGGGCATCAGACCCCCCTCTCCCTTCCTTCCTTACTTTCCTTCCTTCTTTGTTTCTTTCTAATGTGCTCACACTTTTTTTTTCCAGATCTATTTATTTTATGTATATGGTACTCTATCTGCATATACACCTGCATGCCAACAGAGGGCATCAGACCCCGTTATAGATGGCTGTGAGCCACCATGTGGTTACTGGGAGTTGAATTCAGCACCACTGGAAGTGCTCTATGTTAAGCCAGTGCTCTTAACCTCTGAAAGAGTCATCTCTTCAGTCCCAGTTCAGGTTTTCTAAGTCTCTGTTTCCTCACCTGTAGAATGGGTTGCTAGCAATGTTCAGGTCACAGTACACAGTGTGCACTGCGAGGTGGACACAGTTTGCACAGGGCCCAGCCTGGTATTGCTTCTTCTCCTCCCCTTTCTACCCACTCAGAGCATCAGTTTTGTCTCTTATTTTATTTTCTTTCCTCAGGTTGAAAACATACTTCAAGTTTTTTATTGTAAGAGATCCCTTCGAAAGACTGATTTCTGCCTTTAAGGATAAATTTCTTCATAATCCCCGCTTTGAGCCTTGGTACAGGCATGATATTGCTCCTGGCATTATTAGGAAGTACAGGAAGAACCGGACAGAGACCCGGGGCATCCAGTTTGAAGATTTTGTGCGCTATCTGGGTGATCCAAACCGCAGGTGGTTAGACCTTCAGTTTGGGGATCATATCATCCATTGGGTGACCTACGTAGAACTCTGTGCACCCTGTGAGATAAAGTACAGTGTGATCGGACACCACGAGACCCTGGAAGAGGATGCCCCGTACATCCTGAAAGAAGCTGGCATAGACCACCTGGTGTCTTACCCCACCATCCCTCCAGGCATCACCTTGTACAATAGAACTAAAGTGGAACACTACTTCCTGGGCATCAGCAAACGAGACATCCGGCGCCTGTATGCACGTTTTGAAGGAGACTTTAAGCTCTTTGGGTATCAGAAGCCAGAGTTTTTGCTAAATTAATGCATAGGACCCTTGAATTGTTGCTAGATCAGGGGCTGACTAGATGGAGGTCTGAGCACAGAAATGAGACTTCTTTCCATCATTCCCTGTGGTTCCGTGAACAGATGATGTTGGGCTCTGATTATCTTAGCTTGGATGTCAGATGCTCTGAGCCCCTCCCCCAACCTGAGTCATTAGGAGTCACTAGCCATCACTCCCATGAGAGGTTAGGAAAGACTGTTTGCAGACTGGTGGGCAGACCCAGAGGAGACAGTGTTAGGAGCTGTTCCCTTCAGTGTCACACTGGCATTGCCAGCTAACCAGTGGCCGGGAGGTATCACCTGTGACTTGTGGGTTGTATAGACTCAGCACTTTGAAGAGAGATGGAGATGCTAAATGGCTGCAAAAGTTTCTGGGGCCTGTGCAGACTCAAATCTAAGTCAGAATGATACCTCTTTCTTCCATCTTGGCATACCTATAATCGCAGATGCAGATCATGTATGCTCCTGGAGCTTGAGGTCCTGTGACATTTGCTGTTGGTACTCACAGAATTGTTTGAGCAATCTGTGCTTTCAAGATCCAGGCTAGCCCAAATTTTAAGACATCTGACCCTGCAAGCACCTGCTTCATTCTGCAGAAGAGATACCCTTCTGGAAAGTGAGGGGGTATGTAGGGACATCTTTGGAGACTTGGAACTTGTCACAGGGGAGAAAGAACTGGACGGTCCTGGAAACTCAGGCTGCTGTGAAATTGGGTACCGTTTGTCTTGGCTCCTGCTTTTGTCTTAGACTGCCCTTGGAGTGAGCAGTAGGGGCTTTTTCACCGGTCTCCTCCACAAGCCTCACTGTCCTGAGAGGGGAGAAAAGACAAAGCATTTCCAATGGATAGATACTGACGACAAGCAGGCACGCCATGCCAGCATTGCAGAACCCAGTCCTATTTACACACTGCCATGTCAGTCCACGTCGACAGACAGGATCCTCCAGCCCTGGTTCTTAACAGTGCCGCCATTCTGGACTGAAAGACCCCCAAGTTGGATAATCAGATTCATCAGCAATAAAGTCTTGGGTGAGGCCAGTTCTGGCAACATGCCATCCAGGCATTGAGGCCAGCCCAGGCAAGAAGAAAGCCACAACAGCCATGTCAGCTGCCAACCAGTAGCAAAATACAGCTAAAGATGACAGAATGGTCTGCCTGAGGGAGTCCCAGGCACACACATCTGCCCAGGGTTGGGAGAAATTGTGATAGCTTTTCCTAAGGGCCACAGCCCTCCTCTCAAAAAGCTTCCTGAACATGTAAATGTGAAAGTCAAATAAAATTTAAAATATGTGCCAAATCTGACCAGTGGAGGGGGCGCTCCAGGGCTCCAGGTAACTCCTGAGGGCTGAGGGCTCAGACCAGGGATGGGGCTGTGGACTGGAATGAGGCTTGGCCTTTCCTGGTCGACCAAGATGCCAAGAACGTGACATTGGGTTATTTTTAAATGAAGTTTTAGCAAAGCCTTCATGAAATCACTTTGGACCTAAACTGCTGATCGTGACCTCTTTTCTGTGTTTGACAAACAACGGTGTTAATATTGTGTGTGAGGTTAAGGCCTTCAAGGTAGTCTTGATTAAAGCAGCGTTTTCTCTCATGTGGCTGACTGGGTTGGTTTGGTTTTTCCCTTTCCCTCCTTTCTGGCATTCTGGTCATTTTCCTAACATACTTTGCCAAATAAGTATTTCTCCAGCAGTATGTCTGGAACAGGTCACATCCACACACCAGATCCTAGACATCCAGTATCCCTGGAGTGGTTCAGCCTGATACCATTCTCCCAAGGTCTTCGAAGGCCCTTCTTGTCTTCAAAATCACATTCCTCTTCCTCTTCATTCACAGTCCTCTGCCCCGTGTCCCTTGAACTACTGCCAAATTCATTACAACTGGGGCTTCGGTTGCTCTGCTCCCCATGCTGTTGCTGAGGGAGCGTTATACTGCCAAGCCTGGCCTCAGCCTTCTCATCAGCCTGCTTGAGCTGACACTGGGTCTTGTGGCTCAGAAACCACCCTTTGTAGGGAGGGAGCAGCAGAGCCACTTTCTAGACTCATTGGGTGGTAGAGTCAGCACCATGGCTCTGCAGAATACACCTATCAGCCTTTGGGCTTGATCTTTCACTTTCAGCTTCAAGCTCTGGAAGTTGCATCCAAAAGACTTCCAGGTCCTGGTCCTGCCCTCTGGAACTGGCAGCCTCACCCAGTGTCCTTGAGGATATAGGAAGAGAAGCAGCTCCGATCTTCAAATAGCCTGTGGAACCCTATTTTTCTCAATGCATATCACGTGTTTGCAGCCTGCCTTCCCTTTTGCCTGATTTTCTCTTCTTCCTTTGGGGCTAGCAGGCAGTGTTCTGCTGGCATACTCTCATCTCTCTTCCTGGCCTCTGTATTAGAGTTCTCTAGAGGAACAGAACTGATAAAATGAATGGAATCACTCACACACTCATGGGATTTACTAGAATAGCTTACAAGCTGTGGTCTAACTAGTCCAACAGTGGTTGTATTTCCAATACAAGGTCCAGTAGTTGTTCAGTACATGAGGCTGGATGTCTCAGCTGATCTTCAGGCTATACCGGAATCCCAAAGAAGTAAGCTCTAATGCCATTGAAGCAAGCAAAGAGCAAAAGCTTCCTTCTTCCATGTCCTTTCCATAAGCTGCCAGCAGAAGGTGTGGCCCAGATTAAAGATGGATCTTCCCACCTCAAAAGATCGGAATTAAAAGTCTGTCTTCCCACTTAAAATTATTTAATTAAAAAAATACCCTTCAGCCAGGCGTTGGTGGCACACACCTTTAATCCCAGCACTGGGGAGGCAGAGGCAGGGGGATCTCTAAGTTCCAGGCCAGCCTGGTCTACAGAGGGAGTGCCAGGATAGGCTCCAAAGCTACACAGAGAAACCCTGTCTAGAAAAACAAAAAACAAACAAGCAAGTATCCTTCCCAGGTGTACCCAGCTGCTTGGGTTTTTGTTAATTCCAGATGTAGTCAAGTTGACAACCAAGAATAGCCATCACAGTTTCTGTAGTCATATCATAATGCAGAAATGCATTCAGTCCAACTTTAAACGTCCCCATGGCCCATAAGCCACCTGGTCATGATATTTGTCTGTACGAGTAAGTCAGTGCAGTTCTTAGTGTCTGGGTGAGACACCTACCTATAAGCATTGCTTCAAGATCCTTGTGGGAAACAAGCTGAATATCTAAGAGCTCAAGGAGAGTATCCCTTCTGCGTTCCTCCCTTGTTTGCACAAGACAAACAGATCTGTAGTTCCTGACTCAGGCTCAATTGCTTCATACCAATACCAATACAGGAGTCAATTCACACTGCTCAACAGCCCACATGGATGTGCATACTCACACATTTGCTTAAATGTGAGTACTTCAGCAATATTCTGTAGTGGTTTGAATAAGGATGACCCCCATAGGCTCATGTATTTAATGCTTGCTTATTAGAAAGTAGAGCTACTTGAGATGGATTAGGAGGTGGGAGCCTTGTTGGAGGAAGTATGTCATTGGAGTGGACCCCAAGGTTTCAAATACTCAATCCATGTGACTCTCTCTTCCTCCTGCCTGCAGATCCGGATGTAGATGGCTCAACAGTTAAGAGCATGGGCTGCTCTTGCAAAGGACTCAGGTTTAATTCCCAGCACACACACTGCAGCTCACAACCATCTGTAACTCCCTTCCCAGTGGGTCTGATGCCCTCCTTTGGCTCCCATGGGCACCACATAGACATACATACAAGCAGGCAAAATAACCATACACTTAAAAAAACTTTAAAAATTAATGAAAATAAAAGATGTGATTACCATACTTTGAAAACTTTAAAAAAATGAGTGTAATTAAACATTTTAGCAACATGTTTTCTAGTTCTCAGTTATTTGGTAGGTATTACATACTTAAAATCCCAGGTTGTGAGCAATTAGGCCAGGGGCAATCCTACAGAAAGGCCAGGAGGGCTGCACAGACCCAGGAACAACTGCTCCATGTGACTAGAGAGTGGCATCTTTCTTATTCTTCCCATAAAGCCTACATAACCTCCTGTGGTTAATTTTAATTATATAGTGTTTCACAATTCCAATGTCCCTGCTGGTTCTCATTGGATATATAAAGAACCAGGCCAAATATGGACACTCATACAGCTTTAGATAAAAGTGGTTGAGGACCTCGAATCTGCATATTATTTTAGACTCCATCTTCTTACACTTCCGGTTATGTTAAGGGAGTCAGTCGGCCAAGCCTTAGAACCTGTGGATGTGAGTTTCTCAGCCAGCTGAATGCCCCCATTTTCCTCCAGGGGGCACTGCTCTTCCTTATCTGGCTCCTGTTAAACCCTGGCTCCCTCTGTAAACTCACTATTTTGGGGAAAATCTCTAAGATTATGTTGAAAGCTCCAGGGATGACAGTTAGAAAACACCGCTGTTTGAGATAACGCCTGGGATCTGTGGGGTTAGAATATTTTTGCTTAAGGGAAGGTAAGAATAGAAAGAAAGCCAAGTTCACAGAGTGATCGCTAAAAATCTGTCTCAGCTGTGAGAGTGGAAATGTCATCTGCTTTATCAGATCTTAAGTTCTTAAAGCAAACAACAGAAAGCTTCCCTTCTCACAAGGTAATTGCCAGCAAAAGGCAAACAGTACCTGAAGGATTTTGTTGGGGATGATGGTGGGAAATCATTGGCCTTTGTATGATTTTGCTGTGTTTTAACAACCTTGCAGGAGCAGCCCAGCAACAACAAGGTTGAGTCACAAACACTCAGCATCTTGCTCCAAAAGGAACTGAGACAAGCTGTGGGCTCAGAGCAGCTGTTCTGTTAGGGAAGGCTGGTCTCCCCGTGCAGGGAGAGAAACAGTTCTCTGGCATGGAGTGCTCAGCCTTTCTCAGCCTGTCTTAGCCTGAACAATGGCTCTTCTAGAGTTTTGGATGAGAGTCAAGAAACATGGTCTTTCTGTACCCATCTGGAATTGCATATTCATCAGTGTCAACAGAAGCCGCCCAACTAAGACTAAGTGATGATTAAGCATTTTGCACTAGTGAGCAATTATTTTTTTTTTCTATTCAGGCTGCGGACAAGTATTCTACAAAGAAAAGAAAAACACGGTATACAGAAAAATCAAGATGCCTTTAAAACGTTTCATGTGTGTACATATATGTATGTGTATATGATCTCAGTAAGCCAACAGTTTCCATTCATGGCAAAGAGATATAAAATGTGTGTGCCCTTTGTCTTTGTGTAATGCAAAGGTGTTTCCCCCCTTTAAACCCTGTGCACTCTGTAGGGAGACACTGTAGCCCGTCTCCTAGTAGCCCCTACAGGTGTGCCTGGCCACGCCCGCCCGTGAGGGTGTGGTCAGGGGGAGGTCGAAGATGAGCTTCATCTTAAGAGGCCATGAACACGTGGATGCCCCTTCTCTCTGGCCACACTAGCTTGCGGCCTCTGGCCATGCTCTGGCTTGCGTTTGGGCTGGTGTTTATCTAAATAAAGAAATCTTAGCCTTATGGACTAGGGATCATCTTTGAGCGCACGCAATAGCACTCCATAGAGACCATTTTCTTGTCTCCCCTGTTATTGGAATGACATTCCCTTGGCCTGAACCACCTAATATTTGGGTCACCTACGCAAGGAAGCCACCTGATTCTGCTTTTGCAATCTTAATGACAGGTGACTTTAAAACCCCCATGGGAGCTGCATGAGTATGTGATGGCCTGGAGGCTGGCTACCTTGGTGGGTCCAGCAGTACTGACAAAAATGAATGATGAGGAAATTGAGGAACAGCCCTGGGTTCAGAAAGGACCCTGTGTGCAGAGTAGGTGTGGGTAGGACTACTCTTATTTTTTTTTTCTTTGCCTGTTTGTTTGCCTCATCATCAGATGGTTCTGAAAAATGGAAACCAAAGTCTAGGAGTTCTCTGAACTGCTGCTTTGTAATGAAAATGGGTTTGGACCTTGAGTGTGTTGTGTTCATGCAATACGTATCTCGTCCCTTCTGGGGGAGATTCTCTCCATGATGATGTACAGCTCAGGTTGGGGGGATCTAGAGGTAAGAGAAGGCCACCAGGCTTTGACCTGTAGCCTCATTATTATTCAGCCAACACTCATCACTCCTGATAAAGGCTGAGATCAGCTCCTGCAACAGTTCTGAGCAGGGAGGGTGACCATTGGTCATTTCACACAGACTGCAACACTATTCTGCATATGTTAGGTGGTTGGAATGTCCCCAGAGTTGTTGTTTTTTATATGCTCTAAGTCCTGTGAACTCCACACCTGATTTTTAAAAGTTGTCTGCCGAAGGTCACTCAATAAAGGAAGGGAACACAATGACACTCCCATCGTCCTCCAGCAGAGGCTCCTTGTTTATCCACTGTTCAACTTTGGTGCTTGAAGAGTCCTCCACCTAGGCCTCGCCCTCTCCAAGGAGCAGATAGGAGGTGGTGAGGGAGTGAGGGGAGCAGGAGGAGAGGAGGGAGGGGGAACAGGATTGAAATGTAAAAAATAAATTAATAAAAAATGTTTTAAAAAAGAATCCTCCATCCTTGAGATGGCTTAGGAGTTGAGAGCACTACTGCTCTTCCAGAGGACCCAG